ATTATAACATAATGCTAATTCATTTAAAAGAGTTGCATCACCTGGTATTAGTTTTATACTTTTTTTAATATCTTCTGCTGCTTTATCAAAAATACCTAATGCATGATATGCAGACCCTCTTTGTCTATAACAATCACCTTCTTCTGGTGTTAATTCTATTGCTTTATTAAAATCTTCTAATGCACTTTGTGTTTGACCAAGAGCTAATTTAACTTGTCCTCTTCTTTTATAAGCATCTCCACATTTACTATCTTTCTTTACAGCAAGATTAAAATCAGTTAATGCTTTTTGAAGATCTCCTAACATTGCTTTAGCACTTCCTCTTCCAAGATATCCTGCAAGTACATTTGGATGATTTTTTAATAATTGATCAAAATGTGCTATTGCTTCTTTTAATTTTCCTGTATTAACATAAAGATAACCTTTAGCAATTTCTCTATCTAATTCAATGTCATTTGTTCCATTTGTTAACATTCCTCTTTGTGCAACATAATTAACTCGTTCCTCTTCATCTTCTTCATCTTGAGGTAAAGTTTCTTCTGGTAATGTATCTCCAATTTCAAATTGGATTTTTTTATCTGCTTTTGTATTTGGCTTAGCACGAACTGGTTTATTTGGATCTCTTGGAATTGGTTTTCCTTTCTTTTTCTTTTCTTCTTTGTGGTTTTGTTCTTTTGGTTCTTCTTTTTTTTCTTCTTTTGTTTCAAGAATTTCTTGATTGACCTCCAAGTCATTTCCAACTTGTTCATTTCTATTTGTTTCTATAACAATAGGGATGTCTTCTTGTTCATTAATTGTTTCTACTTCTTTTATTGTTTCAATCTTCTTATTATTTTCTTTTGGACTTTCTTCTTTTTTTTCATTAATTTCTTTTGGATTTTCTTCTTTTTTTTCATTAACTTCCTTCTCTTCTTTCTTTTGTTCTTTTTTTTCTGTTATGTTATGGGAATGTTTATGGTGTTTTTCTTTCCTTTTTTTTTTTAATCCACAAATACTTTGTAAATATTTTTTATCTGAAATATTCACAACTCCATAATTTTCAATTTCAAGCACCAAAGTTCCTTGCTTTCTTTTCAAAATACATGGAACTCCTTCCTTCTTTCTTTCCATTTAATCTAATTTTTGAATTTTTAGTTTATTGAAAAGAAATTTTTTATTTTTTTCATAAGACATTCTTTTCATCATTTCATTTTTTTAGCTTCTATTTCTCTCATTAAACACAACTTAGAATAATGAAGAATAATATAAAGTTCATTTAAAATATTATTGTAAAACATTGAAGAAATACTCTCCAGAAAGTAGGTGAAACATAAACGAAGTAAAAGTATTAATTGATAACATTCTATAACAACAGAAAGTTAACGCAATCATTCTTGATGATGAATAAAATAAGAAGATATATAAATATAATAAAGAAGAATTTTGATATTTAAATGTGAAGATTAGTTAAAAAAATAAAAAAGAAATTCATGAATGTATATAACAGAAACAAAAACACCTAATATTTATATAGAAAATAAAAAAGAATTGAAAATAGTCATGAATAACTAAAACAAACAAAAATAAATGGAATTTGAAATAAATTTAATTGAATAAATGAAGGAAATAATTAAATTCTAAAGTAAGAAAATAAATTTAGAAACAATAAATAACAATAAGAAAATATATAAACTTAATGATGTTTATTTTTGATGATGAAAATAAAATAAATTATTATAACTTATTGTTAAATTATTAAAAGAAATATAACAGATATAAAATATTTAATATAACCATAACAAATATAATATTGAAATTAACTGAATAATTTTCATTAAAATTTATTATCATCAATTATTATTTTATAACTGATTGTTGTATGTAAAGTATTAAATAAAATAATAATGAAATAAAGGAATAATATTACACATTAAAGAATTGAAAAAAAATATAACAAGTAAAATAAAAAGAGGAATATTACATTTATAGACAAAAAGAGTCAATAAAATATACTAAGAGAAAGGAATGAAGAAATTTAAAACAATATTTTTTTTGTATAAAAATATTATACTTAATCTGAGACATTGGGATTGTTGAATGACTTAATAATGGAAATACTATAGAATAAATGAACAGAAGTTGTTGAAATAATAAAACAAGCATTTTGAATATTAAAGAGATATTGTAGAACAATAAGAAACTTCTCAAGTTATTGAAATGTATTAGATATTCTTATATAATCATGAAATAGAAAAAAAAACTATATTAAATTCTAAATAAATAATTAAATTCTTTATTTTCAATTAATCAAGTTTGAATCATTTCATTTCAATTATTATGATTCGTTTTGGTATGAAATGATTTGGATATTCTTTTCCACAAAGTGCATTTGATATTCCTTTATATGAAAATGAATCTTGTTGACAATATGATAGTGTTTTATTATTTTCTTTATAAACACAAATATCACCAAATCCAAATTCAAACAAATACTCATCTGTTTGATTATGTAAATAAAATGCACATTGTTGTTCTTTAATATCAAATTTCTTCATTCTTTTCATTCTTCCATTTGATTCTAATGAAAATAAAAATGATTTTGAATCATTTATAAAATCATCATCTTCATCAATTTTCTCATTAACATATCCTCCAAATTTATTTCCTTCTTCATCTTCAATAATAATTATTATATGTTTTTTATTTTTTATTCTTTCTCCAAATACTGATGTATTTCTATTCCAATCATCAATATCTGAATCAAATAGTATATTGAATACTTTTCTATTTGTCCATTCTTCTATTTGGTGAATTATTTTATCACGTAATGTTTTATAATGATGATATAATTCTAATTATTTGTATTGTTTTCTGTTATAAAATGATATTTTTATATTCAAGTTTATTATTTATTATAGTTAATTTATAATTAATAATATGATTTTAACATATGATCTATTAAATATTAAATAGATTAATTTTTATTTTCAAGTCTTTTCTTAAACATATCAAAAACTTTCATATAAAAGAATGAAGTGGTTCTATTCAATAGAAAAATACTGTAAATATAAAATGAAATAAAATAACAAACAAATGATATTATTCTCAATATTTTCATTTCATTAATTATTTATCATCATTCTTAAAATAAAAGAAGATGAAATAATATTTCAGTGATTAAAATAAAATAAAATAATTATTTCTTATTTTCAGCATTTTTCTTTCTTTTAAAATCAAATAACATAACATTTTCCACAAATAAAAATTAACCAAATAAATATAAGCGTCATTTAAAAAAGTAGTGACGTCACTATTCATTATTAATATCTTAATATTCAGTTGTGAATTATTAACTATGGCAGACTCATCTTCATCATTTCTTGTTGGCTTTGATAATCCTCAACCAGAACATCTTCCAGAACAAAATGATGAAATACCAAGAGATATATCTGTAGTACCTGATATTCATATTGAAGAAAATACTCAAACAATAACAGAAATTGAAAACAAAAGAAGAGAAATTCAAAATAAAATCAAAGAAGAGGTTCAGCTTCTTTGTTATCCAAAAGGTATTTCACAAAGTGAGACTTGCAAAATAAAAGAAAGTTATTTAGAACATTGTAAAGAGTTAAATGAATTAACTATTAGTTACAATGCAAACACTGATGGAATGACAAAGAAAAAAGAAAAAAGAAAAGATTGTATTTTAGTTGCAAAAACAAATGAAAAGTTTGTTGATGTATTTTGTGGTAAAGTGGTTAAATTATTCTTAGATACTCTAAAAGGTTATCGTATAAAATTTCCACATCTCCAATATTGTAATATAGAAAATTCAACAAGAAATACATACGAACAACTTTTTGGACAAAAAGATTTTGGTATATTTTGTGTTACTAAACAAGCAAATGTATTTGGTATATTCTTTCATTCTGTTAAATCACTTAATGAACAGACTTATGTTTGTTATGAGTCTGCTTTATTCATTATAAGAAGAAATGGAATGAAAGAATATATTCCAAAAGTAAGTAAAAGAGCAAATGATATTGAAATTGTATTTGGGAATAATGAGAATGATGAATTGTTGATAACAGTCACTAATAGTATTGGAGATTCAGTACAATTTTCTAATAACAGATTCAACATTGTTGGTGATATTCATAACATATTTAATGAAGTAGAATGTAATGATATGTTATTAAGTAGAAACAGCAACAATGAATATCAAGAAGAAATAACTGAATTAAAAGTTATGAAAATTAAATAAGATAATAATTGAAATAAAATAACTAATGGTTATTATTTTTAATTTAATAACAATAAATAAAATGATTAAAATAATAATATTTTCATAAAACATCTTTGTTATATCATTTTAATTGTATAATATTTCAATGATTTTTTTATTGTTTTTTACAAATAAACACCATATCATTATAATGATATTATATGAATGTGATATAATGTCTAATATCAATGAATAATAATTATGTTGTCAATTCAATAGAATATGTAAATAACCAATAAGGAATATTGTTTGTTCATTTAATAGACTCTCAGAACTATTATTTGTTATTACAATAGAATTTAAATGAAAATATGTGATAAACAAAATATACTATTGTTCAATAATTCATAAGAATTAATTTATTTTTTCTAATTTTCTGTTATTTTTAACATTGATGTGATAAATACAATGAAATACAAAACAACTACCAATATGAAATAAATGACATTTAAATGATAGAATAGAAAGATAAATAGAAATGAATAAATTGATAGAAAGTCTGTATAATTTGAAATATCAAATAGAATTAAAACATAGAATAATTAAAATGAAAAGAATAAAAGAATAGATTATATAATTTCTGAATATCTACAAATAACTTATTAATTCTTATTTGATTAAAGTGTTGTTAAAATATGAAAATAAAAATGATGTTCACTTTATTCTTGTTTATTTTTATTTATTTTATTCATTGTTTATCACTCAATTTATTCTTCTTTTTATTTTTAATCTAAAAACATAAAATGTTATTCAATTCTCTTAATTATTGTTCTTATCCATTGAATGTTGCTGCATTAGTTGCTTCATTATCTGCTCCAACATATTCTGCATTTTCATTAGTTATTGTAATGGCATTCTTCATAGCTGATGAAACAAGTTGATAAGTCTTAAATAATCCAATAGAAACAACAATTAATGCAACTACGACTGCAACTACAACTACAGCCACAGTAGTTGCCGCTGCAATAGCTCCAACATTATTAATTTCTCCTGCGAGAATACACTCGGTGTGATTATTAAGTTGTTGTGTTCTATCTGTCTGATTCCAAACACGACAATTACCACATGCATCAAGATCATAATATTCTTTATCTGTTTCTCCATACATAGTAAGAACTGATGAACCGTCAAGATATGAACATTGACAATAGAAACATCTTCCTTGATTTGGTGTGATTGTTGGGAATTCTTCTGAAACAGTACATGTTTTCTTTGTGTAAATAGTTTCTCCAGTTGTTTGATTACATGTTGCGGTTTCGCATGGATTTCTTGGTTTTGGATTAGCATTTGATCGTTCTGTATCAATTTCCCATTTATGTGTGATTTTTCCATCACTTCCTTTACTCTCAACACATTTATATTTCAAACATGCATTGTTAAGTTCAACTCCTGATTTAGTTCTAAAATGTTCACTATCTAATGATGGATCATCAGTAAGTTGTACAAATTTACAAAGATATGTAGTACCATCACATTCTCCTGTCATTGCTTTACATCCATAATCTACTTCTGTGTTTTGATTACATTTTTCTACATCAGTAATAATTGGACAACTATTATCATTTTGACAAACAGTACTTGCACATTCTACTTGCTCAATTCCTTCTTTTCCTTCAATGAATGCTTTACGTGCATCTTCTATTCTCTTATTGTTAGTGTCACATGTTGTTTTTGTGGTATTTTTACATGTTGTTGTTTTTATTCCATCTTTTTCTGTAATAACAATCTCTTGAATCTTACATTCAATAGGTTGACAATCAAAGTTAGGATCAATAATGCAATTGTTATTCTTACATTTGAATGGAACTCCTCCATTCTTAGTCTCTTCTGCACACAAATCAACTTCTTGGACTTTTTCTCTAGTTTCAATTAATGAACATGTTTTACATTCTCTTGTTGTTATTTCGTATGTACAATATGCTTCTTTGTCTGCCTCTTTCATAAATTCTTCACTTTGTGGTAAGTGAAGTTTATAACTAGTTAAATTGAATAATGAACTGTAATGATAGGTAGCTGTAACATATGCTTGACATGGTAAATAGAAGTTATAAATAGATTTAAAGTTATCATCATTACCTAAACAATCTATGTATGTTCTTGGAATGCATTGTTCATTGACACAATCTTTTGGAATATTGTATTTATATTCTTTTCCATCTTCTAAAGTGACTTTACGTTCTAATTTTTGATCTTTGCATTTCTCTACAAATTTACCACTTTCACATACTGAACATGCTGGTGTTGGTTGAACAGTTGCTTTACATGTTCCTGTTTTTGAGTCATATGTATATGTTCTGTATGTAGTATCAGCTGGACATGTTAAACTAGAACATTCAGCACAAATATCATTATCTGATTTAGAAGAAGTTTTATCTTTTTCAAATACACAAGAATAAGAATTGTCATTGCCTTTAATACATTTACCATTAAAGTTTCCACATTGTGATTTACGTGAATTACAATCATCATGATATGTAATAATATTATCTGTTCCCATTGAACAATATCCACATCCTACATTAGAAACATCACCAACTGCTTGAACAACACATTTTCCATTCAAACATGTAGTTGAATAATATTGTTTACACATAGTTTCAGATTTATCATCTTTAGCAAATTCAATCTTAGTGTTTGAACAATCAACATTCTCCCAATATGTTGTTTTACTTGTTTCATTGCATCTCTTAATAAGACATCCATCTCTAACAAGATCTTCTGTACAATTAGACACTTTACATTGTGGTGTTGTTCCTGTATAATCACAAATTTCATGGTTTTTAGAATTACAATAATTACCATTTTTTACTTTATTACATTGACATTTATTACCAGTTGTAGAATCACATTTACATACTGATCCTGTAGAATCTCCACCACATGATGAGTATGTATCACATGATAATCTGTTCTCACACATACCTGTATTGAGATTACACTTAGCTACATAACATGACATTTCAATATATGGTGATGTTTTTACACATACTTTATCTCTAACACTACATCTTTGTTCTGAATCACAAACATATTCTTGACAATTATTTGTCTTTCCTGTACACATTTCTTTACCTCGTTTATCTTTCTTACAAAAACCAGTAGTTTGGTCACATGTATAACTCCAACAATATCCATCAGAACTTGGTTTTTGATCTGCTTCACAATTAGCTTTTTGTTTACATACTTCAGTTAGATTCTTATCATTATCACAATATGGTACCATGCATTTCACTTTTGGTTGGCATGTGTCATTATATTTTGTAACAACACATCCTTCAAGATCTTTACATTCATATGAGCCTACACATGTTGCTGGACATTCTTTCTTTGCTTTTGGTTTAGCTTTAGGCCATGGAATACATGATCCTGTTTCTACATCACAGGATGTATAGAAACAATCATTCTCACAACACATTGGACATGTGCATCTATTCATTGCATCACAAAATCCTGAACATTTATCTCTATCACATCTTTCTGTTAAATTAGCTCTAATTCCTTTGAAAAGTGCAGTGATTGTTGCATTAACTTCATCATTACCTGTAAATTCATGATAATGTGGTCCAAGTGAAACAAGTCTCAATGCACTACGTGTAATCTTTGGGTCTTTATTTCTATTAAGAACAACAGTATGAACTGAAATATTCTTTCTATCAAATTCTGTTTCTGCATTAAATTCTGATCCAAGTGCAGTATCCATTAACACAATCATAGTTCCTCTTTTGATTTTATCATTTGCATTTTTATCTTTACTTTTATCTGCAACTTTAGTAGCTAAATCATTCTTAGCAATATTAATAAGTGGATCAACTTGTCCTGTTCCTGCTGTGTATTTGACAAGTGTATCATATTTTAATTGATCTAAAGTAATATTAACTGTAAAATAAGTATCATCTTTAAGATAGTAGAGTGTTACTCCTTTGACTGTTTTTAGTTGACTTAAAAGAGATAAATTCTCTTGAAGTGATTTAATGACTGTAGAATCAGTAATACCAAAGATAATTGCAAGATGTGTATTAACATTATTATCATATACTTTAAGAAGACATTTTGATGTAGTGTTTGTATTATATTGATCAATAAATGCTTTATTCTCTGTGTTAAATGATCTGAATGTAATTGATCTTCCTCCAATGAAATCCATTCTACAAACATCATATGCTTCAGTTTTTGTTGCATATGTCATTTTTGTATTTAAATAAACATAAGCCAATGGTCTTTTAGCTGCATATTTAAAACAAGTTTTTCCATTAATATCTACACTTTCAATTCGTTGTTCATCAACTGGAACATTGTCCCAATCAACTTCATATTTTTCAATTGGATATGCATATTCTTTTTGACAAAAATCTTGTTTAATATCTGTTTTATTAATATCTTCAACCTTTACATTATGATCTTCATTGATAGTATATTTATAACATTCTTTATTGCCATCAGTTGTTGTACAAGTAGTCCATACAAAATGTCTCCATGGTTGCATAGCTAAATAATAGAAAACATCATATTGATGTTCATAAGAATGATACCATGAACCTGCATTCTTTCCACGAGACATAATACCAAGGTCATAATAATCAATATCTGCTGAAAATTCATTAAGTTTATCTGCAAGACAACATAATAATAAGATATTTAATAATAATAATTTCATATCTTTGTCTTTCTAGTTCATTGTCTTGTTTAAATTCACTTGCCTTTCCTATTATTCAGAATTTGTCCTTTCCTTCTTTTATTTTCAATAGAATATATCTTTTTTTGAACAGAAATTTATCAAGTAAAACAATAAGAGAAGAGTATAAAAATAGAACCAAGAATAAATTCATTTCATTTTTCCATTCATTTTTATAACAATTCACTTTTCTAGTTTTTTGTTTATTCTTTCTTTCATTATTTATTTATTCTTGTTTCCATTATTACTATTCTTTACTTTGAATTATTTCTTGTCATTAATCATTTTCAGATACAATCTCATCATTATTTCCTTCATTTCCTTTTAGTTTCTTTTCATCAATCTTTTCATGTTTTTTCATCGTTCATTCTTTAAATAAAAATGTTTTGTTGTATTATTTTATTTTCTGTTATTATAAACAATATTACTATAAATATATGACACTTATAATATCATTATTTTTATTTATTTTCTATTTCATCATTTATTCTTGTTATTAACTCTTTTATTTCTCTGTTATTTCATTTCTTTTATTTATTCATAAACTAATTTTTCATTCAAAATATAATCAATTTTATTCATATTTTCATTATTACTTTGACTATTGTTACAATAACTACAATTATTCATTTGATAAATACTTTTAATTTATTACTTTAATTACCAATTTCCATTCTTTTCTTTCTTCATTCTATCAATCTATCAAATTTATTCATTCTGACTTTTTTTGTAAATGTATGTTAACATTAATTCATTTCCAATATAATACTTGTAGCATAAAGCACATCTATTGTTAATATAATAGAAATAATTGTTTTAGAAATATTTTTAATTGCCAATTATTGTTTTAATAAGAATATTAATAGTAGTTGAATTGTAATTTCATAACCATCGTTGAACTAATTTTAATACCTGTTTGTGAATTTCAAATTCTTCATCAATTAATATTTGAATGATATATATTTTCTTTGTTTTTTTTGTTTAACTATTACTTAAAATAATTATCTCAACTTTCAACCATCAAATAACAGTATAAATATTATTTATTATCATGTATTTGAACATAAATTGTTTTAATTGATTCAACTCTTTTGAAATTAAGTTAGTATATTCTTTATTAACAATAACATGCCTATTATTGATAATACAACAATACATCATTTGAAAATACACATTATTTTCATTTTATTTAAATTCTTTGAAAAAAGAAATAATAGTGAAACATTCTTATTTGAATTATATGTAGAAAATACTTCAATTTTATTATTTTTTGTTGAGTTATTATTTTCATTATATAAATTCATGTTATTAACATTACATTTAACAATATCACATTAACACAATTATTTCAAATTGTTTTATTTTTGTTGTATTTATGAAATTTATTAATATGACATTAATTACAAGGGGTACGAAAATTAGCAAAGAAAAAATGCATCTAAATAATTTACAAAAAAGAAAAAAGATGCAAAAAAATTTGCATCCATAGAATTTTCCACTTTATTGTATTTTACTCCTAAAATAAAAAAAATAAAATAAATAAAAAATATGATAAATATACAATCTGTAAATATTTATGTTTATATTTTATGATCATTTGTATTCATTTTGTATGAAATATTAATGAAATAGATTATTTGATGAATCACATTTAATTATTTTAATTATTTATATTCTTTTATTTATATGTTATTTATCTATCGTATTTTTATATTTATTTCTCTGTTTATATTATTTATATCATTGTATTCTTCTTATTATC